CCCGGCAACAACAACAACAAAAACTTAGTTTTTCTGACCCTAACTGGCTGGGGTGATTATATAAGGCCTTGCCCACTTTCCCCCTTTGTAGCCTATTCCAGAAAGTGCCAAAGGGGATCCACATGATCCCCACAAGTCAGCACACTCCTGTCTTCTCACCCAAGCCCACCACCACCACAGATGAGTGCTGGCACCCCACTAGCCAAGTTTCTAGATAGTGTGAGCCAGCACTGCCTAGACCACTCTCACTTTCGTGAACCAACATCTTCCCAAGAGCCTCCTGTTAGGGCCACAGCCACCATGGGTGGGTAGGGCATGAGGAAAGAGAAGTAAAACTGCGGTACATATCTCCACGGCAACCAAACCCTCAAGGGCTAAGGAGCTCATCAAGAAACAACAGAACTTGAACAACCCACGCAGATGCTCACATGTCCACTCCCTGAATGCCGACTTCTGGGAAGGAACTCCAAGGAAACAGCTCAGTGAGGGGAAAAAAGCAATAACTCATACACCAAAAGGAGCTAAATGCCGTAAGGCTGTGGTGTGACTAAGTGGATTACCACGTGAGTACAATTGCAGCTGCTAAATAAAACGAGGATGCACTATGGGTATATTTTGGTCACAACTCTGAAAAGTGTGCAAATGTGGATAAAAACTGGAGGGGAAACACCCAAGTGAAGACAGATGCACTACAAGGCTAACGCAGCAGGCGTCTTCTGTCTTTAAATTGTTCTCTGTAGTTACCATGTGGTTCTCAGATCTAAAAATGAACTGAACACAGTAACTCATCAAGAGGTGGGTGAATGTGCAAGTTTGTGCATGAGACCAGCCATGGCGCTCAGTCCTAGAAAGGCAAAGGTCTGCCTGAGTCTTGGTGGAATGCCTTGTGTGTAGCTCCCCAAACACAGAGTGGGCAAGAGGGAGCCTGCTGACAGCCTCTCATTTCTACGAAGATACGAGACCTTCTGACCAATGCTCAGAATAGAGTGTGCGCACTGTGGCTCCCTGACCACAAGATTGCTGTGCAGGGTCTTCCAACTAGCACTGTGGTCATCTGACTCCTCCTTTAATGCTGGGACAAGGGTCCAGCAAGGAGGCAACGTGGCCATACTCTTTTCAGTTGTCATTTTGTCTTAGTCTGTTTTCTATGCTATAACTAAATTCCCCAGAGTGGATAATTTATAAAGAAAAAAGTTTATTTGGTTCACAGTTCACAGCCAACTGGAAAGGCTACACTTAAAGAAGGTTTTCTTGCTAAAGGGGACTTTAGAGATAGTACAAAGTAAAGGTAGTACAAGGCATTTCAGAATGACAGAGATCTGGCCTCTTCTTATAAAGCATTTGGGAAGCTCCATTCTCATAAGTCCAACGAAGCCTAATCACTATCCAAAGGCCCCCACCTCTGAATGCTGTCAACAATAACTCTGGCCATTGCATGTCAACTTGAATTTTGGAGGACAAAGACACTCAAGCCAGAATACAATGTAAGTTATATTCAAAACTTAAAAGAGCCCGGGTCCACCTACGTCCACAAGTGTCTGTCTATGTGCCACCATTTGAGGCAGTCTAAAACGTCCATTAAGGAACAGATGCTATTCAAATGGCCACAGGTAAAAATGGCTGGATGTCTGTGTTCCCCTAAATTTCTTATGCTGATATGCGAATCTCCAAGGTGCTCATACTAGGAGACAGGCATTGGGAGATGAAACCTTGTGAAGGAGGCCAGAGCTCTGGGATGACTCAGAGAAGCCTCTTCTGAGAGCTTTCATCCCTCTTCTGTGAGGACTCCAGGAAGGCCATCTGTGAACCAGGAAGCAGGTCCCACCAAACACTAAATATGCCGGTGCCTGACCTTGGCTTCCCAGTCTCCACTGTGAGCAGTCAACACAGCCACTTGGTCCATGGTGGCTTTGTTACAGCAGACCCCCATAGTCCTTTCCTAGTTCAAACAGTAACTGCCTGAGATTAAGAAAAAGGAAGAAGAAGAAGAAGAAGAAGAAGAAGAAGAAGAAGAAGAAGAAGAAGAAGAAGAAGAAGAAGAAGAAGAAGAAGAAGAAGAAAGGGGAGGGAAAATCTCTACTTGGTATGTTTCTTTTCTCTGGTAAACAGAGCAAATATTAAGAAACGGTTATTAGTTTTCTCAGGGAAGAGCACACCAATTGATCACTCAACAGCAAACGGTCAGTCCTAAAAACAAAAATACAAAATAGAAGTAACACTACACAAACTAAATAACGTAGGAATACACACCCACACTGGCAGGCACATGTAACAGCATTTAATGAAAAACAGAAGCCATGAATTTGAAAGATTTCAAGGAGGGTATATGGAAGGGTTTGGAGAGAGGAAAGGGAAGGGAGAAATGTTGTAAATAAATATAAACTGTAAAAAGTAAAGGTATACAAAATGGTTATATTATAATTTCAAAAATAAAAGAAAAACACTTGGAAAAGCCAAAGACCAAAGATAATTTTTCTTTTGAACGTGCTGCCCAGGTCATCTCTGAACTCACTACGTAGCTAAGGATGACCTTGAACTCTTGATCTGCCTGATAGGACTGATTATAGGTGTTCGCATCACAGCTAATTTTTGTGGTACTGGGACTTGAACCCAGGACTTCAATGCATGCTAGGCAAGAACTCTACCAACTGAACTATATCCTCAGCCCCTCAAAAATAAATTTTAAAGAGACTCAGTGACAATGTCCATATAGACAAACCACAGTCACAGGTCAAATAATAATTCAACTAATGAGAGCACTGGTATGTGCTACTGTGAGAATGCAAACGCCATGTATATCATGGACATCAGGCGTGCTGAAGGAAAAAAGTTGCTTAGTAGATGCAAAACCGGTCAGTCTCCACAGCAGTAAGTAACATCTACATCTCTAGCAGACACAGCTCACATTGTTGTGTGTAAGTCACATGCTCAACCTCAGAGTGCAACAGAGCTCAGACACAAGAGAGCCTGGAGACTGAGAGATCCCATGACTCTAGAAACACAGATTGCCTGCCCCACCTCAGAGAGCAACAGAGCCCAGAGACAAGGAAGGAAGGGAGAGTCAGAGACCAGGAAAGCAGGAAGGGTCAGAGACCTGACAACTCAGGACATGCAGGAGAATTGCTGACCCATCTCAGGTTTTCCGAATTTTCCCCTAAAAACTGAACAATGATAAATGCACAGACCTTGAGCTTGCAAGCATGTTTTAGGAGAAACTGCAGTGGAATGGAAGAGTGAGGGTTAGAAATCTTGGGGACTGTCAGTATAGTGGCAGGCCAGTGTGTCTTAACCAGCATTAGCCCGGGAACCTGAGGGAAGTCTGCCAGGCCAAGCAGTGGTAAGCAGGCCCACCTGGCCTTCGCCCTGACCCACCTCACCCCAGAAGCTTCTGAAATGAAACACACAGTATTTATAATGATTATTTTTGGTTATCAATTTGACAAGATGTAGAATCACCTGGGATGCAAACCTCTTAGTGCATCAGTGAGGGAGTTCCTAGATCAGGTTAGCTGAGGTGGGGAGACACAGTGTCAGCAGCAGCACTCCGTGTGCTGGGGACTGAACAAACAGAGCTTCTTACCCGTGTCTTCTCTCTGCTTCCTGGGTACAGAAGCAATGTGACCAGCTGACCCATTATAGACAATACTCTCCGACTTCACGCCCAAATAAGCCTTTCCTCCTCAGAGGCTGCCTTGTCAAGTGTTTTGTTACAACAATGATGAGGCACTGAATCGGTGCTTTAGGTTTAAACCGCATCTTTAAGCCTTATAAATTATAACCTTTGAGCAAAGTAACTTAACTATAAGTTCATTATACACACATACACACACATACATATGAAGTGGGGGAAGGAGAGAAAGAGGGCAGTCAGTGTTCTTGGAGTGACTCTCCTCTTAGGCCCACATGTCTTAAGTATATTATTCTCTCTCTCTCTCTCTCTCTCTCTCTCTCTCTCTCTCTCTCTCTCTCTCTCTCTCTCCACCATGCTTAAACTTGATGTGTATACTAATCTCATCTCTACTTAATAAATTCACTAACTTTACTTTACTTTAATCCATCTTTAATTTTTTTTCCCCGAGACCAGGTTTCTTTGTATAGCTTTGGAGCCTGTCCTGAAACTCACTCTGTAGATCAGGTTGGCCTTGAACTGACAGAGATCTGCCTGCCTTTTTTTTCTCTCTTTCCCTCTCCCTCCCTCTCTCCCTCTCCCTCTCTGAAAGAAGCCCTGGCTATCCTGGAACTCTGTAGAGTTGGCTGAACTGAGATCCACCCCCAGGTTCCCAACCCAAGTGCTGAGGGCCGGGATTAAAGGCATTCTGTGCACCACCAGGGCCCAGGCTAAGAAACGACTCTCAGAGCAGAAAGGAAAGATGGGAAAGGGGAGGGGAAAAGAGGGAGGAACTGCTTTAACAAAAATCTCCTCTAATCCTCAGCAGACAACAGAATCAAATATAATCCACGACTCAGTCAGATGTGCGAACACCCTGCTGACAGACTCCACAGTGACCAGATGCCGCCAGCTCAACGCAGTCAGTGTCTGCTCTTACAAAGCACTGGACACAGTGCTGGCCTCGGGTGTATCGAAGGCCCCCGTGTGTCCGTGTGATGTAGGCACAATCACAGCTCATGCTCAAGCAATGTTCTTCAAATCAAAGGGGAGGGGCACAGTAGGTGCAGTGACCTGGGTAGGTGTCTGTGAGCTGGGTGACCCCCTAGGGGTGATAACTGACAAGGCACTGAGCATCTCTTCCTGAGGTCCCCCCTGTACATTACAAACCTAATGTTATTAGGACTAGTCTGAAACCATCCAGCTTACCATCACCATCTTAAATACTTAGAGGTAAGTCATCTTGCTTCATTAGCCTTGTGTCAGGGGTTGAGAATCCTTGCTCTAAGGATTCTGTCCAGGTGGAGTATGACTCTACTGCCTGGGATGCAGGAAGCTCTGGGTTCCATCCCTACAGTCTCACCTCTCCCCACCCCCACGGCTGCACACTTACTGCAGGCTGCACAGGTGAAACACGCGTCGTGGTAGAGGTCCCCCATGGCCTGACAGGCCTGGCCTGCTCCAAACACGCCTTTGCCGCATTTCACGCAGGCTCCTACGAGGTAAGAAGAAAACACCAAGTCAGGAGAAAACTGGGATTTGAGTCATGAAAAAGCCAAGGAACAAAGCAGAATACCTTCCACAATATCACATCCATGGATTTCTCAGTGCTCAGTCCTTACAAGTACAGGAAACAGCCACCATCAACACCCTTCACAAACACACACACACTATCCCCACACCTGTCCAGAACTTTCAAAGGCTCCGACAATTCAGAAAACTAAATTCTAACCAAACCATGACTATAACATAGCTCAGTAAAAAATAAATAACTAAATCTAATCTCAAAAGTGTTTGGAATATGTTTAAGTATACTGAGACAGGATCTTACTCTGTAGTTCAACCTGGCCTGGAATTCACGATATAACCTACAGTGACCTCAAACTCGTAGCAATCCTCCTACCTCAGCCTCCGGAGTACTGGGATTACAGGTATGTGTCAGCATAACTGACTGAAGTTTTAATTTTATGTGAATTATATGTATGTGTTTCAGAGATCTGCCAGCACTTGGCAGATAACCAACTTATTGTATTGTATCAGAGTCCCTATTTTGATTGATTGATTGACTCTTTGTCTCTTCCTGCTGCCTGCTGATCTGAGCACTGAACTCTCAACTACTCTCGGGCACCATGACTGACTGACTGACTGACTGATTGAGGTAAAGTCTCTCTCTATAGCCCTGGACTTCCTGGAACTCACTATGTAGATGAGGCTGGCCTTGAACTCACAGAAATCTACCTGCCTCTGCTGTACACATGCTGGGATAAAAGATTTGTTACTATGCCCAGCCAGAGTTCCTATTTTAAATTAACAAACGAATTACTACCAAGAAAGTCTAAGCTACTACATTCTTTATAAAATGTCCCCCATACCAACCACTCAGGCAAGAGGAAACATTACATATACACAGGTATCACGCATCACCTACATCTGCCAGCCTAGACCCAAGAAGTGAACCTGTCTCATTAAAGCTCTGGGGAGTGGGGGGAAGGCCAGAACTGTCAAATCTTGCTCATAAGATTTAGGGAAAAATGGATGGCATCTCCAAGGGGACACCCTCATGCCCACCAGCCTCCCAGAACGAGCTGGACAGCAGGACTTCCCCACTCTCTGTATCCTGCCCGGAAATGTTCTCCTCTAATTCTTCTTCATCAGAGGCCTGCTACCTACTGCCTCCAGACATCTCCACCTCTCAGGTCCTGACCTCATTTCTTTGGGCTGCAAGCCCCATTCCTCACCATGTGTACTGCCAAGCACAGACACAAAGGAAAGTACGTGTTCAAACTGTTGCTCATGGAGTAGCGAATATACCATACAGAGACACATCAGTAGGACAAATATGGGGTGTGGATAATGAGAGATGAATGGATAGAAAAGTTCCTCTTGGAGAGAAAAGATAGGAAAAGAACACATGAGTTGTGATTCACACCCTGGGAATCATGTGCCTATCATACAGACCTTCATAAAACAGGCCCTACTATCTCCTCCCCACAAGCCGGTTTCTAGAAAGATCACCCTGCTGGTAGGTTTGAAATATGGAATCTGAGCCCATCTTATCTCTGTGTAGCTACTCACGATATGTATGTGGGCATCTCATGAAGAGACACGGCTCCTTCCTCACCTTGATCATCTGTCCTGCTCAGGATTCAGACCTAAGAACCATGCCCCTGCCCTCCCACTGCCAACCTGGCCCACCTCTCATTTTGCCTTGTTGCCCCATGCCCACCCCAAAAGTCATCTCTGCCCAAAACCTCAACCACAACCCTTTCCATAAAACGCACCCTTCTGCAGTGTAGCAATGTGCCCTGTCCTTTTGCTCAGTAATCTGGACAGCATTTGTTCAGCTATAAACACTTCTCTCTCTTGGAGACAGACTTTCCAGAAGCCACACGATGGGATGAAGACAAAAGGGACTGATTCAGCCTACCCTGAGGGAAACTATTCTCCCACAGTGGGCAAAGGGCCCCACCCTACCGGAGGTCCTGTATGGGGCTTACTAAGTGGCCTGTGCTGGAGCTCAAGAGAAGAGAAAAAGAGCAAGCTGTTGACATTCCTCTGATTTACTCAATCTGAGGCCACCGGAGATGCACAAACCCCTTATAGTGAAGGGAAGTATCGACAGCTATCACTGAGTCAACAGGAAGGTGAGTGAGACACAAGCTTTTAAGAGACAAGAGGGGAAGGTGGATGCTTTCCCTGCAAACTAGCCTCCCTTAGTCCAGTCTCCAAACTCAGAGACACTGACTAATTTACTAATGTATTTCTGTTCTTTAAGAAAAATCTCTCAGCCGGGAGGTGGTGGCGCAGGCCTTTAATCCCAGCATTCGGGAGGCAGAGGCAGGCGGATCTCTGTGAGTTCGAGGCCAGCCTGGTCTACAAGAGCTAGTTCCAGGACAGGAACCAAAAAGCTACGGAGAAACCCTGTCTCGAAAAATCCAAAAAAAAAAAGAAAAAAAAAAAAAGAAAAATCTCTCTATTGCCTGGCTGACCTCAAACTCTTATCAACTATTCTGTCTCAGCCTCCTGAGTGTTAGGGTCACAGGTATGAACCATAACTTCCCTGCATAGTTTTTGTGAAGTGTGCCATTCAGTAAACTGTCCACATTTTTTACATCACTTGTGTGTGTGTGCGTGCGTGTGTGCGTGTGCATGCGTGTGTGCACGCGTGTGTGTGCATGCGTGTGTGCACGTACATAGCATGGTACACATAGAGAGGTCAGAGAAGAACTTTGGGAGTCTGTGCTCTGCTTTCATTAGGGTTAGATCTTCAGGTCACAGGACTTTAGTGGTAAATGCTGTCAGTCTAACTGTCTGCATTTACAGTGTGATCTGATTCATGTTGACACTGATAAGTGCCTATAGCATCAGCACAATGAAGAAAGCCAGCACGCCTGCCACCCCAATGAGTCCCATGTCCTCCCCTTATGTAATCCACTCTCACACTCCCTTCCACAGGCAACCATGGCTCTGTTTACTATCATCACAGATTAATTTGTGTCAAGAGTTTATATAAATGACACCTGGACGGTACCCCTTTATCTGGTTTCTGTCACTGCATAAATATTTTGGGATTTACTCTTGTCCTGGTGGATGTCGATAGCTCCTGTTTGCTCCTGTCTGCTGCCATGCAGCATCCAGCGTGGGGCACTTGCCCTCTCGTCCAGTCATGGAGCTGTGTCCCCCCTTGGGGGCTTTCCCACACTGCTGCTGTCCACATTTAGGCATGAGTTTCTGTACAGACCTAGACCTAGACTTCTTTTTCTCTGGAGTGAAGCCCTAGAAGTAGACCGGCCAGGCCACACAGCTGATGTAAAAAACAAAAAGCAAAACGAGAGACGTGGTCTTGCATAGCCCAGGCGAGCCTCAGACTTACACACGTGTACCCAAGAATGACTTTGAATGCCTGCACTTCCTGCTTCCACTGTTCCACATACTGCGATTCCATATTTATGTGTGCTAGGGACAGAACGCAGGGCCTCTCGGGACTTCCAGCATGCTAGGTAAGCACTCTATCAGCCGAACCACATCCTCAATCCCTGGCCAACTGTCTCCTGAAGAAGGGAGATCATCTGACATCCCACCAGCATTTCAGGAGACTTAGTTTCTCCACACACTGGGCAATACTTGGTGTAGATAACTTTTAATGTATTCATTCTAACAGGTGCAGGGTGGAACCTCATTGTGGCTTCCAGCTGCATTTCTCTAGCAACTACTGTTGTGCCCGAGTCTCTTGAAAACCTTTGGTTCCTATGCTTTATTGACTTATTTTATTTTCTAAATTTTGAGTTGTGTTAAGCCAAAGATCAATCCAGTCTCTGGTGCTCCAGCCTCTGAATGAGAATCCACTAAACATGTGCCAACCTCTGCACTATATTTAATATTAGTATTAAATACACTATTTAAACATAGTATTAAGTATATATTTAATAATAACATGACACCCCAATACAATCACCATTTGACAAACAAAGAACTGAAGTTCAAAGATGAAGCAAAAAGCTCCAAAACCAGGCTCACTCAACATCTGTGGCTTTTCTGGTTCACTGTACAGCGCTCATAAGGGCTGAGGAAGTAAGAGATAAGAAAAGATTGCTGTGTGGGTTTCCTCCACGATTGAAACATACCATCCTGTAAGGAAGCTCCGTAATTAGGGAGATAAGCAACTCAAAATCGCTTCGGGAAGTGCCTGAAACTGACCAGATTTACCAGGTCCCTCCCTACCAGAGTAAAGCTGTAAATACTCTCAGACAAGCCAAGCTAGCTGTAAAGAGGGCTCTTAGACCAGACCCTGAATAAAATCTGTCTCTTCAGGCCCCTGCTTCATGGGCCCATCTAGGAGTTTGAGCACTGAATAAATTGTTGAAAGAGCATTAGTTCAGTCAGTGGGCATTAATATGCCATTCATCATTTTGGTTTATTTTCTTCTAAAATCTTGGCAATAGAATGTGTCATTTAGCTAAGACTCCAGAGGATGAGGCTTCCCTAGGAGACTACACAACTGTCACAGACTGGGGAGGCCTAGGCCTGCCGGGGTAATCCACTCACTGAACTCTGCAAAACAGGGACCCTGTCCTGTGTCACCCTGCATGCACCTCTTATGTGAGAGGCCACAGTTGGTGGCCAGGGCCTCGGGAAGTTAGTGGTCAGAAGTTTCCACGTGACGGAGTAGAAAAGCTGAGTGCCAAGCGAAAGGGCCACTAGCACTTGGATTTGTTATACCATAATGTCTTTTGAGAGGCTAAAGCAATGTCACAGGCCTCTTAGACAGCCTCTCGACTCACAGGAAGTAAACAGAAAGTTCTCCCATTAAGGAAACCTGATATTTGGTGACCACTGTTGTTATAATTGCTGATGGCATGTTTGGGTTCCATGTTATGGTTGTGATGATTAATAGAATCCCCAAGGGGACAAACATCTGGACATGGCCGTAGGGGAAGAATAGGTAAATTGAGCTGAGAAGATTCAAGCTAACTGTACACAGCATCATCCTGTATG